GGGTAACATGTACGTTTGCACTCTGTGCGTTCAATTTAAAAGCAAATATAAACACGACATGAGAGATCATCTTTACAGAGAATTGAACTACGCGAGGTGAGCATTTTTCTATTCGTTAAAACGATATTTATTTAAGGTAGTTTAACTACCTTAACTGTGCGTAATGTGTAGACTGCGGATCTTTATGCAAAATAAAATCTTGGCAAAAAATCTATGTACCTACAAAAATTGAACCTAAATAGGAACTTATTTTACTCTGCAAATATTATAATTCGAACTTTACACTCAATATTTTTTATATTCTTGCATACTGTGTGCATTTTGTAGTTTCTTGCACATTCGAATTCCCTGTAATTGCATAAAAATCCGCAGTCTAGTAATGCGATATTAATAAAGTCAAATTTCATGATATTCCAGGTGGCACTGTAAGGATTGTGGATATCTGTCTGTAAATAGGAATGCTTTGTTAAAACATTTTACAAAACATCACAACGGGGAACGTCCTAACCATGAACCACTGTCACCAGACGACGACATTGAACATTGGGTACGTACAAGTGTAATAAGTATTCGTAAAGGAACCAATTGAAAATAAAACTTTATATATCTATTTTATTAATAAATTTTAGAGGAAGAAATAATTAACCAACATTCCTGCATATTTTTAGAGTAGATTTTGCGTAAATTGAATGTTTATTACTTTCAATGTTAATCTCTTATTTCTTTTCTTATTAGTTTTTATTTTAAATTGGTTGCTGTAAATCGACTTGTTTACTAAACGAACTCGTGCCTTTGACGCAGGTTGGCACATTATTGACGAGGCAAACGCGTATGATAAAAGGACTGCCGGCCACAGAAAAGGCGAGTGGCACAGACGTGACTACCACCGCGTCTGGCAACAGTACGAAAACGTCTATCGGTAAAGCATATCAAACCAGTGGTAGAAAAAGATCGAGGTCCGCGAGCCTCGCCAATAAGGCTTCCGCTTCGCAAGATAGTAACATTCCAAACTCAGATTTCGACGTAGACGCTTTAGACGACAGCAGCAAAGATAACGAAGGGCTTATGGACATGGATGACTTCTCGTTGAAAAAAGAGGAAAACCCAACCGGGTCTGAGAAACGTGAGTAACACTCTGAGTGTCCTCTGAGACGTGTCACCTGGATAACTCGTTCCTTTTTAACACGTTGCTCGCGCTCCAAACCTAAATCAGAAATGTCTGACAGGACTGTTCGTTGAGTAACTAAGAATACATAGAATTATTTACTCTTTGATACTCTCAAGACAGCAATTTAACTCCTGTAGTTAGTTTCACTAGTTTCAACCTAGCAAACGTGTATATATTATTATAATTATACTGCGGAACCTAAATAGGAATTTATTTTATTCTGCAAATATTATAACATAAACTTTACTTTCAATTTTTTTATATTCTTGTATATTGTTTGCATTTCGTAGGTTCTTGCGCACTCAAATTTCCCATAAATGCACAAAGATGCCCAGTCTAATTATAATATATTCCAGCTACAAAAACAAGCGAGTTATTCAGATGACACGGCTTGGGAATGCCCCAACCTTCGATTACTACCAGTAATTAATTATTATATTCCATATAGACGAGCGCAAGGAGTCTCGAGAGAAGCCAGTGGTCTGCAAACACTGCAACATGACCTTCACTCGATGGCGCGGCTTCAAATTACACGTTTTATTGACTCATTTGAAGCGACTCGGATTCATTTGCCCCTACTGCGATCGCAGCACGAATTCCGAAGCGCTGATGCGTCAGCATATTCGATCCAAGCATCCTGGCTGCCCCGAGAAGCTCGTCGAGAATCCAGCCGCTGGTGGGCCGGAATTGACGGACCAGTTCTGGGAAAAGGAGTACGGAATCGTCTTTCCGAGAAGGTCGAAGAAGCGCAAGAGGAAACCGAGCGAAGAGACCATGGACGAGAACGACCAAACCGAGAAGAGATGCAACATCTGCGGCTTCGTTGCTCTGAACTTGGCTGGTCTCAAGGGACACATGAGAGTGCACAGGCCGAAGTCTAAATTCAAGTGTTTCTCTTGTTCCTTCGTCACGTTCTCCAAGTCGGACTTCTGGTCCCACTGGGAACTGAATCATCCCTTCACGCCCTTCAAGCTCGACGAAGCGTTGCTGCCAGACTCGTCTAGCGAATCTGGCACCACGCAGTCCACTAAGAAGAACATGGACGACGATTACAGCGACGACATAGAGGAAGAACAGGTTTCCGATTCGAAGGACGATCAGTTACTTTACAGTTGCTTCTACTGTTCGTTCAACAACAAGTCCTTGGACGTGATTCAAGATCACTGGAACACGGTGCACAAGGACTCGAAATCGTCCAGCGATGCTTCCAAAGCGAAATCGAACTATCCCTTTAGATACAAGGAGGTGCACCTAACGGAGGACTCGTCCAAAGCTCAGTGCTCTAAAACAGAAATAGAGACTCCGTACGAACTGTATTTGCAGCAGTCTAACAGCGATCTGCAAGTGACAGACATATCTGGTGTTACGCAGGAGGGTTGGATCTGCCAGTGGTGCAACGAACTGTGCGACTCAGAGGTCAAAATGAAGAACCATCACAGCATGTTCCACTCCCATCTGCCATTGAACTTCAAGAAAGAAGAGAAGAACAAAGTGCCTAAGGGATACGTCTGTCCCGAGTGCTCCTTCACAACGACTTTCATTAATGTTATGAAGAATCACGTGTCGAGACACATAAATCTGTTCAAGTGTAAATATTGCGACAAAACCTTTGGTTCTCCGGCGCTGGTGTCCACGCACAACGTCGAAGTGCATCCTAAGATGGAATTGAGGATAGAAAGTATACACAATTACGAAGCGTTGCTGGAAAGCATCATGACTAAAGTGAAATGGCAGAAATCCGACATGGATCCCAGCGACGTCGATCAGAAAGACGTCTTAGCGGAGTCCCTGAAGAACCACGCGGTGGCGAAAAAGTCTACGGCCAAGTCCACCGTTCGACCAAGTCAGGTTTCTGTTAAGGTGAAAGCAGTGGCTCGTAAGAGTACGAATCCATATTCGAGGCATCTTTCACAGTCTAAGATTAACGAACAAGCGTCGTCGACAAATAGCAAGCAGTTCTCGTATTATAGGATTCCTAGGGCTCCCGTTAATCTGGGAAAGTTGAACACTTACATGGTGGTCGGTGGGCATAGGATGAAGGTGAATTGTACCACCCTAGCACGGTTGATAAATATCGAACCTAAAGTAATGTTGAGGGACTTGAAGTATATCGACGATATCGCGAAACTTAAGTCGAAATAATTAGTGAAGATTAGGAGACGGAGTTGTTTCTTTCGTAAGGAATGTATCACTCGACATGGAAATTTGTATGAAATTCACTGAGCAGATGAAGCATCGAATAACGTTTAATATGTATTTCTTTTTCGTCAGCTGTTATTTAGTTTCAAGGTGTGAAACCTACTCTCAATCGGATAACCTTAATTAGATTCCTTGGATGATGGATATAGAAAAAGAAAGAACAATTTAATCATTCATTTGAAACATTTTGTTAACTAGGTTGCGAGAACTTATTTTCCATTACAAATTACATCACCTTTTGTAGATTAATTCGCAAAGTATGTTTGTTTATCGACTTCATCTGTTGTTTAAGTTGATCTTAAGCAAACTTTGAGAGTACCTTTCGCCTCTTGAATAGTAGCAGATAAAAATAATACGTGTCTATTATTTTTCAATGCTTTGTCTGTACGCAGTGTTTCATCAAGATCGATGTGTTGTTCCTTGGTAGCATTATTACAAGCACCGATAAACGCTTTACGTTTCAATTAGGATTTCATTTAACATCACAATTATTTATTGTATGACCATTACCAGTATAATGCTTAATGAAGTAATTAGGTATAACCAAAGTAAGACTCGGTATCATATTATGCTTTCTTTGCAAAGTTATACTCGAACACCTGAACTTTTATCAAATTTATAATTTGATTGTTGTAAAAACATACGTAAGGAGACGGTCACGATCATATTCCATAATTTAACGATTCTCGTATATTTTTCTTTAGCGAAAATTTTGAAATCGATTACATTTGAAATCAAAACAGTACTCGTATCATGGACATTGTAAATATTTTTGAAGGCAGTGATATCCGCTAGTTAGATGAATCGCAAAGGGAAATGTTAAATTTATTTATTTTGGAATATGTAAAATTTCAGGGTGTATAGATCGTACCTTTTTGTTTCACGATTAATGACACGTAGATAGTATTCTTTTCGAGCAAGTACTTACGCATAATGTCGAAAAGAAGCGACAAGTTTCAGCAACTTTGGTTATACGTTAAATCATGTAACGAGCTACTTATGTTAACTGAGAAGTGATTGATACCAAACACGTATCGTAAAGGATACAAATTTTGTAAGAATAACGTGCGCGTACGTCTGTGATTTAAATGTAAAGTTCTTTACTTATCGATGCTAAATAATTATTAGCAATTATAATAATATAGCTAGGATTCGCGAGAATAGTATCATTCATAACGTTAATAATAATATTCACAAATGTTTCCATTGCGTAAAATTGATAGTGCTTCGAACGGCGTAACTACGAGCATCGATAAACCTGAAAAATCGTACGTTAAAACTTGCATCGTACACGTAGCATATAAATCTTTATTTACAACCGCATAATTTCTATCCGACGTTCTTAAATTGATTCTTTAATATCGAGTATGACACGTTGAACAGGAAAAAGATTTGTATGAAAGAAAAAAAAGAAAAAGAACAAGACTGAAGTGCATCATGTAAGTTATAATAGGCAAATATTTAGTTCGTAGACAATTGTAAATATCGTGTAACATAAAATTTCACATAAATATTTTTGATTTTTATAAGAAAATCGATCGTCGCAACTGTAATTCTTCCTAATGTGGTCCTCATCACATTAAGAATTTTTTTTATCAAGGTAATTCGTGGTTTATATTATTAAGCAAAACTGTTTTCAAGTACTTTTTTTTATTTAAATCGTTGTACAAAGTTTACGTACGAGGCGAACATTTGTTTCATTTTTCTGGTTATTAATGGTACCTTGTACGATTAACAAGAAAATAAGACATTTCGTACTCTTTAATTTAGAAGGAGCGTATTTGTTACTCCGCGCAGTTCTTTCGTGTTAATTGAAAGCATATAAAAACTTAAGAATTATGCGAAAGTTTCGATAGAGATCGTGCAAACATAGTATTTAAATTAGACGATGACTTCGAGAACGTTGAATCAAGTTGTTAACGGTTTAACCTTTCAAAGACGATAGTCCCGCTCTCATTATCTCGTCGACCAAAAGCAGATTGCTGGCAATAATCGTGCTGTAAATAAAAAAGGAAGTATTTCAGCAGAAGTAACATTAACAAACGCGAACCGTGTGTATTCGGTTATCCAATTATTACTTACCAAGAGTTAATAATCTGTTTCTTTACGTTATAGTTGTCGTAAATGCCAGCGTCCGCGGGTTTCAAGGCCTCGCCCGACGAAATATCTAATCCTACCGGTTCACCCAACGCGGTTCCTTCCTCGAATAATTTAACGATCGTGTCTTGCGCGTCGAATCCACAATTTGCAGCTGAATATATACAAACACAAATACATTTAATAATTGTACAAGCGTTTATTAGTTCAGCAAGTAGATCGTCTTACCAAGAACTTTTGGAATCACGAGCAAAGCTTCCGCGTAAGCTTGTACGCCCAATCGTTGTTTTCCCTTTACTGTTTCTTTGTACCGTTGAAGGATCTGGCTAGCAGCCACTTCGAAAGCCCCAGCACCGGGAATAATAGCGCGATCGTCGATGGCGTTCTTGATAGCCCTCAGACCATCTCGAACGGCATCCTTCAGTTGTTCCAAAGTGTATTTGTTAGGTCCCTGATAATTTTTAAAACGACGTTGGTTAATGTTTGCGTTAAAAACATTCTTCTAAGTCTTCTAGTCTCAGTTTTACCTTCAGGAGAATCGTTACAGAGTTGGGTTTCTTACATTCTTCTACGAACGTGTACTTGGTTTCTCCCTGTAACGAAATAATGTTATCTCTCGTCGTACACAAAAATTGATTATTTTATAATATCGAGTCGATTTACCAAAACGTGCTCGTAAACGAGTCCAGCCCATCCCAAGTGTTCCTCTGTCAAACCATCGAACGAATTCATAGCCGTTCCACCGCAAGCTAGCGCTAAACGCTCCATATTCCTGCGTTTCGCTCTGCGCAGAGCCAAGATATTTTCTTTGGCGAGCATGTCCAACGACGGTGGATCGATGCCCTTTTGATTTATGATGACGAACGACTTGTCCGTTCCGTCGCATAATTTCTTCTTCAGCTCGATTATTTTCTTCACGCGATTGTCGATAAACTTACGCTCCGCTTCCACGAGCTTCTCTCGTTCTTCCGCAGTTTTGTAGAAGAAACCACTGTTCACCTATGAAATTCAGACAATATCGTTACTCGTTACTGTTGTAATAGGTGTTCGATTCTTTCATCTTCTTACCTCGCTCTTCTCGTACTCCAAACTAACATTGCAAATCAATATATATGCATTCTCGACTCTCTTAGGCATGTCTGGGTGTCTGGACCCGTGATCAGTCACAATACCACGAACCAAATTACTGTCGGCTGCAGTTCTGTGCTGCATCTCCATTAGCTCGACCATATGTAAATCGATATCTTTACCTTCCTGCCTGATAGTCAAAACCGCGTCTACGCAGATCTCGGTCAATTTATCGGCTATGCTAGGGTGAACTTTAGTTCTCAGCGACGTCCTCGCGACGCTCAACAGATTCTCCTTGGTAGGCTCGATGGGAACCTTCATGGAATCCAATACTTCCAAAGTTTTAGCTTTAGCCAACTCGAAACCTTCTGTGACCATTCTAGGATGGAGACCCTCCGATATATAAACATCGGCTTGCTTGAGAAGCTCTCCGATGACTAAGACCGTGCTAGTGGTACCATCTCCGGTGATATCGTCTTGAGCAGTGGATGCTCGGGCAATCAAAGTGGCGGTCGGATGTTGTATCTGCATTTCGTGAAGGAGCACATTGCCGTCTTTTGTGATTTTTATATCACCCGCTCCGGAGACCAACCTTTAAAAGAATCGAGTAATTAGAACAGATAAATAGTACTTTTAGTGTCGAGAATAATAATTTATTCTTAATATTATGAAATACTTTTAATATCGGTTACAGAGAATAATAACGATTATAGTATCAATTTTATTCTGAATTTTAGTACATTCTTAAGTGAAGCGAAAGAAAAAGGAAAGAAACATCAGTATCGAGATACCGGTACTTCGAGAAACTTCAACCTTACCTAATAAGGCTAACAAAAGTCACGAATGTAATTCTCGCGTGGCACACGAATTTATTTATTTATTTTCACAAGGAGAATTTAACGCAAGCTACTTTCCATAATTTCTCATATTTTAGTTGTAAAAATTGCGGTCTGTGAATTCAGGCGAATCGAATTCGCACGTGACAAGAAATAATACGTACATTTTCATTGTGCCTTTCGGCCCAAGATTCGTCTTCATCACATCTTGGATTCCTTTCGCAGCTGTTATATTTACAGCCAAGGCGTGAGCGGCCCTAGCAAATTCAGCTTTGGGATTCAACAAACTAATTGCAGCCATTTCGCCAAGTTACAATGACAATTTGTTATATTAAAAAAATTATTCTCTCGGCGGGTTACCAAACGTTACGTTCCACTAACGCCTTTGACTAATACGATATAGGGAAATACGAAACACAGGGTTGCCACTGTTGCCAGCAAAGCAGGATTGCCATAATAACATTAATGTGTAGTTCGTATATATATAACATTCAAAATAAGATATGAAATAATAATTTATACAAATTCGTTGGGGTTTATTGCGATTAGATGTTTATTCATCCCGAGAAAAGTAGAGAATTATATTTTGAATATTTTCGCTATGATGGCGCTATCTAGCCGCGCACAGTGGAAACTGGTACTGCCCAACTAACTTGGGCGGTTCGCCGAGAGATGGCGCTACTTATTCGGTATTTTTATTTATTTAAAAAACATAATATCAGTCAATTATTAGTGTACGAATCAACAATTAGAAGTCGAATTATGATAATTGCGATGTAATATTATGCGAATACGCTGGAAAAAGTAAAAAATCTAAGATTTAAATATTTCCGATCGTGGCGCTATCTAGCCTAGCACGGTGGAAACTGGTACTTCTCAACAAACTTGAACGGTTCACCGAGAGATGGCGCCACTTTGGTCGGTATATTTATTTATTTAAAAAACATAATATCAGTCAATTATTAGTGTACGAATCAACAATTAGAAGTTCAATTATGATAATTACGGTATAAAATGATATGGATATGCAGAAAAAAAAGTAAAAAAATATAAGTGCTCATATACGTGAAAATATATGATTGGAATGAATTTATTGAATAATATAGGTTAATTATTAACAATTGTAGTGATAGCTATTCCTCCGGAGTAATTGTACGGAGTAATTATTTTTCTGGTCAGATGTGAGGTTTCGTTGAATGTCATTAGTGGTCATTAGTGGTCGTTCCAACAAATTCGTAGTTCGGCCAATACATAGAAAATACTAAATTAAAATAGAGAATTATAAATCATGGGTGATACATGCGTGATAACAAAGCTCCCTCATCATGTGCAACAAAAGCTGTGTCATACACGAGCACCTTATAGGCAAGGGAAAAGATTGACATCCGTGAAGGTAGCATTGTGGACTTGTATCCTATCCAACATAAAACGCCTGCATTATTAATTATTGAATAGTAATTATGCTTTGAACTTATGATTTCTTTCTAGGACAGTCTAATATGCCAGTAACTTAATTGCAAAATTAAACATCCTTTTATCTTTTAGACGACTACATCAAAAATCCATTCATTATTTCACTAATAACACATTAATTTATTCGAAAATATTTATTTAGAAAATACAACCATACAATTATGCTTACCATTGTAAGCAATACTTTCTTTCCTTCGAGTCTTTTCATTTTTTGAAATGTTTATGTCTTTCCTAATAAATAAATTTCTAATAAATGTTGATTTGAGGTTAGGTTGGAAAGCAACCTCTCCACATACATCACCTTTACACAAATAAAAAGTCGTCCAAGGGTTAAAAGAGATTCAATTTCATTCAGAATCATATGCAATATATCAAAGCACACTCTGCTTTTATTACAATATTTCCTTGACACGCTAGCTCTGTGTAACAGGTTTATACTATTAACGATGAATCAAAACATTTGATGATATGCGGAGTACCAAAGCTTCAATTAGGCGAGGAAGTAAAGAAACTCGTCGATCCTTACGGAGACGTAAAGAAGATTCATGTAGCTCCTGATTATCCCACAGAAGAATTTACAGAAGCTTATTACATACAATATGCTCGTATACAGAGTGCAAGGTTCATTAGTTTCTACTTTTCTACTGTACTCTGTTGTATTATTCGCACATTATCGAATTCATTCTGTGTTTGTATGTAATATCATGCAGAATAGCAAAACGCTTTATCGATGGTAAAAATTTTTACGGGGGCCTGCTACATGTTTTTTACGTACCAGAATTGGAATCTGTAGCAGAAACTAAAGCTAAACTTGTACAACGATGTCGAGAGGTTGCTATACGCATAAAGAGAAATCAACAAGACTCCGTAAATCCGAATACTGATAAATTTATTCCTAAGTATGTTGTAAATGTATATCGACAATCTGACTGATAAGAATAACTAAATTATTGTATATATCAAATATCAATTACACATTGCAGAGAGCAATATCATAGAAAAAAGAGAACACCAGCTTTACCACTTACAGAAGAGCGTCTAATTAAACATTATCCTGGAGAAACATTGTTTTCTATATATAATGGTATACCACAAAATATAGATCCAAGGCCTGTGTCTGAACCAAGTTTACCTTCGACTTCGTATAGTCATCAGGAAAATGATTCAACCACTGCATTACCTCAAGCTCCGTATCATCCAAACGAAGCTATCATTAGAACAACCGAAGTTAAAGAAGGTGTATCAAAATTTGATCGTCGAAAAGCCAAAAGAAAAAATTATAAAGGACAATCTGCGGACGGCAACGTAAAAGTCAGAGTTGTCAGGCCTGAAATTGTAGACACCAGCACTATAGTAAAATGGGATATTTCGAAAAAGAATTTGTTCAGTAATCCTAAAAAAGTTCAAAGTAATATAACTATAAAATTAATACCACAACGTGATAACGAGAAGAAAAGAATCGTGATAAAAGACCCAAGGTATATTACTTGTATCCCGCGATTTTTAATATTTCATTATATCCAGTTATTATCAATACATTATTTTAGCGTGTCACAATTGGTACAACCAAGTAAGAATCTCCAAATTTCAATTCAGGAAGCCAAGTCTCAGATACGAGCAGCTATGCAAACGCACACCGCGGAAAATCCATCGTAATAAAGTCAAGAGATAATTATTTGACTAAGAAACATTTATTTTATCTTAAATAAATACAAAAATTGCAGCAATCTCACATTGACACAACCCATATTTTTTTACAATAATCTCGAGAAATGTCTTACTTATAAAATACCTGTTAGGCAAATGAATTACGCGTTTTAATTATTCCTATAATCAAACGATTACCCTAAAAATAGTTAAATAATAATAGTCGAATCCGAATCCCATTGTATTCCACTTAATTTAGATCTTACGACGCATCTTTTGTGCGGTGGTGTGTTCTCCTGCATTTTCGGTACTACATTTTTATTCTTGAACGTTTGCTGCGGGGAGTTTATCGAAGCTTGAACTCGTCCAATGTTGAAACGATTTCCAAGAGGAGTTCGAATCTGAAAGCAAAAGCATTTGCATTGTACTTTCGTATTTCTTATTAGTAAACATAACAATTTTTGGGATTTTTAAGTTATCAAGTACCTTAGCGATTTCATTTCCATTTTTCTTTTCATCCGTTGGAATTTTTACTTCCAATTTCTCAGGTTCATCAGATATCGACGAGTCCCTCCATATTTTAATTGTATCGTTATTGTTAACGTGGATTTCCTTATTTTGCTCGTTATTTTTAGTCTCTGGTTCCGAAGTTGTCTCTTTGCTTTCCTCTTTGCTGTCTCCTAATATCGATTAAGATTAAACTTCGATAAGTACATTTATTAATTTTACTACAAATTAATTTTGAATCTTCGCTAATTCCCTCACCAATTTCAGAGCGTGTTTCATCGTTCGATTTGTTGTTAGAATCGTTAATAAGAAAATTCAGTTTTAATCTATTTTCGAGTAAATCAGGCAAGGCTTGTATTTCAGGGATATGAAACGGCGACAACGTTTCGCAATACGAAAAATTTGAGCTTAATACATCCGTCTCGTAACTGCCATCTCTACGCAGACATAGTTGAGACCTCGCTCTTAAACGCTGTAGAGATTTTGGCTCTAATATCGGTGTTCTATCGAAATTAGCAGCCGGAGACCTAGGGTCGATTCCCAAGATTTCGTAACGTTCTCTTTCTATCGTCGACATTTTAATTTCTAGATTACCGGTTACTGGCGTTACCGGATTCTCTACACTTTTATTTTGCTGAAACAAATTAACTGAATGTTACATGCTATTCTTTATAAGAATAAATGAAGTAAAAGTAAGTAATTTACCGCATCCGGAAACTGGAATATTTCACTTTCAGATATTTCTGGCTCCCTTTTTTGTGGTGTTAAACATGGTATTACTTGGTCTATATCTGTTTCTAAATATGGTTTTGCCTGTAAATATCTTGGAATTGCTGTAATGGCCCTTTTGCTTAATCCAACAGGAGTATTAGGGTAGGTATTGCATACCTATTAATTGGATACATTTTATGCATTACGCATTGTTGTATGATTAATACAATTATATTTTGAATGTTATTATACAAAGATTACCTCTATCGGAGTTCTATTTATACCAATTGTTATCGATCTAGGATCTGTAGGCAATGTTACGCGATCCATAGTTGGCGTACACATAACATCTTTTTTAACGTTTACCTCATCCATGGAAGGCTGCACATCCATTTCCTCTTTCTCTGTGTCAGCAGGGGAAATAAATTTGGTCAAATAATTTCCCATTATTGCTGTTATTTCTTCATATACTTCAGAGTGCTACAATAATTCATAAATAAAATTACTTCTTTGTATACTTTGGAGCATTACAATAACTTGTAATATTTTTCTGAATAATCTTACATGTTAGATGTTTAATATTAAACATCGAATATGTACAATTTTATATGTTCTTATAAACCATTCATTATTTGGTCATGGGGGCCCACTTTAACTTAGGTCCAAACATCAACTCGAATAATACGTTTACGCATTGTTTTAATAATCAAGAAGAAGCCTGCATAATTACAAAGTTAATAACTTTCATAATCGAACTTACCTTGAATAAACGTATAGAAAAGTTGACACAACACAAAATACCGTTCGTAACACCGAATACAACAACTTTTTCTTAGAAAATTAAATTGACTGTTACATTGACTGAACGATGTATCAACGTGCAATTTTAAATCAGAAACAGTGGGTGCTTTCAATTGAAATATCCCTAGACACTTTCGTACACACGGCGCTACATATCCCTATTGAACATAAGGACCATTAGTCGGCTTGTGAAACCATGTGTCTTCTAGTGATAATTAGTTAAAAATTATTAACAATGCCAGCATGAGATGATGGTATTTGGAACCATTTGAAACGTGGACTGGTTACTTGTATTAGTTAAAACAAATGTGAACGGACATTTTCTTTAATTTCTCTTCATTTCCTAGCACATTTCCCTTTCATTACCCTTCATTTACTGGCACAGAGCAGCTTTCATTTCCCACCATTTACCTTCATTTCCTACCACATTTCACTCTAATTTCCCTTCATATCCTGGCCACCTCCTTTCTCATCCTGTGATCCTGATAAAAAGAGGTAAGTTTAAATCCATTTCCTAGTCCTTTCCCTACAATTCCTGGCACATTTCCCATTAATTTCCATCATTCACCTTCATTTCCTATCACATTTCGTTCCAATTTCCCTTCATATCCTGGCCACCTCTTCGCATATCATGTGCTCCTGATACCAAAATCCAAAATCGGCCAGAATTTCAATACGTACCGAAAATGTCCCCCTTGAATTAGGCAACCGGGCCGACATCCGTGCAAGTATAGGTTGCCTAATTAGAGGGGCTAATTTTTGGCATATTTCGGAATTCTGGCCGATTCAACAATGTTGCAAATCGCTTCTCCCGAAACTTCCACACTGTTGCAAACCGAACAATGTTGCAAATCGCTTCTCCCAAAACTTTTACAATGTTGCAAACCCAACAATGTTGCAAATCGCTTCTCCCGAAACTTCCACAATGTTGCAAACCGAACAATGTTGCAAATCGCTTCTCTCCAAACTTCCACAATGTTGCAAACCGAACAATGTTGCAAATCGCTTCTCTCCAAACTTCAACAATGTTGCAATTCGCTTCTCCCAAAAATTGTGATGGGAAATGTCGGATTTTTACTCCTGGTATCAGGAGCACATGATATGCGAAGAGGTGGCACGAGGAATCTGTGGTTTTTATCTAATGCTGGCTTGAATTTTATATTTCTTGGTCGTTGCTATTCTGGTTTTATACTTACCTTTTTTTATCAGGATCACAGGATGAGAAAGGAAATGGCCAGGATATGAAGGGAAATTGGAATAAAATGTGATAGGAAATGAAGGTGAATGATGGGAAATTAATGGGAAATGTGCCAGGAATTGTAGGGATAGGACTAGGAAATGGATTTAAACTTACCTCTTTTTATCAGGATCGTATGATGAGAAAGGAGGTGGCCAAGAAATGATGGGAAATGAAGGGAAATATGCCAGGAAATAAAAGGAAATTAATGGGAAATGTATCAAGAAATGATGGGAAACTAGGAGATGTTAGGAAGTGTTGGAATGTGTTAGATGGTTTTGAATATTTAGGAAGTGTTGGAATGTGTTAGATGGTTTTGAATATTTAGGAAGTGTTGGAATGTTTTAGGAGGTGATAGGAGGTACTAGGATACGTGCTAGGATGTATACTTTTCCAATCGCTGACCATAAAGCTCAGCGAGCTCTGTTTGGGTCCGCTCACACTGGTAAATCACTACTGGAGTTCTCTAGCTAAATGCTTCAATGAAATGTTACTAACGTATAATCTTGAAACAAGGGCTACCAACTTTGTCACTGCCCTTTGTTTTCATTGCACATACATAAACACTTGATGTGTATAAAATAAATAATTAGAATAATATATTGTCTTCTGTTAATGAATTTGGACGAATTACATGTAACTAATTGATACGACATTTCGTTTTTTATAAATATTATATACCATTCGAAGTGTAAAAATCTACTGCGAGCGTCTTTAACTATCCAAGTTGACGTACACATATTAAAGTCTAAGAAAAAAATTGTATTGTTTACAAAACTATGATTATATATACATATATTATAAACAACAATCGAAATTTTCAGTTGGAAACAACGATATAAAGAAATTCCAATAAAATTGACGCGTTGTGAAATCAGTTGGGTTAGGCTCATTACAAAACAAATGTGTTAAAGTGTATGTATCGAACTATTGTTAAAACTGTTTTAATTGTTATATTTAAAGTCAATAAAATCAGTTTTAGATGAAAGTGAACTCGTGTATTTAAATATAGAAATATGTCGATCGATACAAATTTCCAAGGGACCTGTAAAAATGATATGGTTCATATGCAATCTGTCAATTTCGTTTGTCCAATATGTGACTGTCGATACGAAAATAAAAAAGAGATTTACGATCATTTACATATACACGCTGGAGATGTACTACTGAAGCATATACAATGCTTAAAAAATGATGTAAACAATGAATCACTGACAGAAATAGATAATTACAACCAGGAAAGGATCAACGACAATTTCTATGAAAATTCAATAAGACCGTTTAAATGTCATCAATGCGATTTAACGTTTGATCGAGCATCTCAACACGATTACCATTATCGAAGTATACACTTAGGTGAAAAATCACAACTTTGCGAAATATGCGGTAAAGGATTTTTCCGTAAAGCAGATCTGCGAACGCATTTAAACACTCACTTAGGAACAAATATTTGCATTTGCGAAGTATGCGGAAGAAAGTTCAATCATATATCTAATCTAATTAGGCATGGTAGAATGCATGCCGGTAATTATATTATTTGTACGAGAAACTATCTAATCGGGAATAGATTAAATGTTTACCGTTCAATTTGTAGGAGTAAAACCGTATCCGTGCTCTATTTGCGGTAAACGTTTCACTCAAATTAGTTCCCTTGCGAGGCATAAACGTATTCACGAACGTTCGAAGGAAGATGTTAAACATCAAGCTCAAAATATTTGCGATGGTGGAATGGTAGAGAAAAAGGATTACGCATCGAATAAGAATAAGGTCGTTAAAAATTTAATGTATATATATTTTGTAATGTGAAAAATGTTATATCTCTGATTATCAATGTATAGTTTGTCGATGGAAATGCATCTATTCAGCAAAAAGTAATTAAGAGGCAACATTACTGTAAGATTTGCGGCGAAAGTTTCAGTTTTATTTTCCTCTTACGAGAACACGAGAAGTCTCATACAGGAAACGCTATCAATTTGGAGTACAAGAATAACGAGATGGTAAGAATCACAAAAAGAATAAGTAAAATATCTGTTTCTCTAATATTTTTCCTCTCATCAGAGCTCCCAGAAAATCACAGAACTTGAGGAGTATAAAAGCGACATGAATAGTTTTGATTTTCTCGAAAACGAAGAGAATATAAAAAAAATATTACCATTGGAAACAATTATTTATATCACATCGGAACAGGTATATAATTTAATATTTAAAATTTTATAGTTTCAATGTACATTTCCCGTTTAATTCGATTTTATACATTCGAACAGTTGAAGAAAATAAATTTGGAGAACATCGAACATACAGGAAACCATATTTCGCAAGACCAGTTGCGCGAAACAGATGGAAAAATTGGTACAACCGATGAATTAAACATCTCTGAGAAGCTAGGACTTCCTAATGAGCAAACCGAATGCGAGGATGATAGTTCTATTTTGTTATACAGATCCAACGATTGCGAAGCAAAAGAAAATATGTTATATGTATGTCAAGTAGACGATCCTGTTCTTAAAGACAGATTGGATACTAAATTCTCGAACACTCATGATAATTTTACGCAAACGTACGAGTTAGATTTAGAAAAATCTGAGACGTTGCAGAGTTACAACGCCTTGACAAATATTTCTATAAATGTCACCGACATGTTTCAAAAAATAGATCTATCAGAACCCAGCATCAACGATAAATCTGATCTAGATATCTCGAACGACGAAGGAATAAATTCAGCGCGAGACGAAAAGATTGCCGAATGTCCAAACGATGTAAATAATACCACGAGTCACGACGAACCAATGCTACGTTTAGTACAAACGGAAACCGGGGATCAATTTTACGAATTTCTTATTAACAATTTAGCCGAAAAATTACCAAATTTACAATCTGTGAAAGCTTCCGAGACTAAAGATGAAAACATAAATATTTCTGAAAATGTAACGAATATGTGTTTAAATATCAATAAAGATGTGAACGAAGAAGTTCGAGATGAACAAAACATACGAGACGTTATTCATAATGATCTACACTACACGCATTACGAATTGCAAGGCGAAGAAAAAAATTTTGTTACGAATCAGATCTTGTTGGATCCGCAGACTGATTTTGACAAATACGTTGAAACGAATTTCGAGGTTTTCGAGAGATTGCATTACGATGATAGCTCGGAACGTTTTCTCGAATTTGTAGAAGGTGCAGGTGTCGAAAGTGAGAGCTCCAAAATTTTAGATAAAGAGAGCGAACAACTGCTACAGTTTCAAAGTTTCAGTCAAATCGAGTCCATGCAAGAGAACGATAAGAATGATGGTATTAGCAATAATGAACAGGCTCTTTTGACTTCTCTAACTGAAGACACGCAATGTGAGATAAACACAAATAGTGATCGAATTGTCGAAGAAGATGAGGAACAGGTGCAGGCCACTGATTCTATGTCAAGTATTACAAAATTAGAGGATCAAGAGGACGAATCGAAAAAGTCCAAAGTATTTTTACTTAAATTTCAATGTACAGTATGCGAAAAATCATTTTCAACCAGTTACAACTACAAACAACACATAGGTACTCATTTCGCGGACCAACAGAAGTTTCATTGTAAAGAATGTAAAATGTCCTTTGCTTGGAAATCGACGTTAAATAAACACATTGCGAGCAATCACAGACCGGAAGGTCCGCAAAAGTTTGCGTGCGATATATGCCAGAAAATTTATAATACTTCTTCCCAAGTAAATGTAAGTACTACATATTATAAGTATTATTTTATATGTCCGTGCCATATATTTCTTTTTCCAACAATATAATACAACCGGTTTAAGATATTTTTATTCGACGCAGGAACACGTGAAGCGCGATCACTTGAAACAACGAAATCACGTTTGCTCTTATTGCGGTAAATCGTTTTTCAAGAAATACGATTTGAAGATACATAATCGAATCCATACTGACGAACGACCATACGTTTGTCGTGCTTGCGGGAAAAGGTTTCATCATCGAAGTCATATTATTCGTCACGAACGTATACATTTCTAGAAAAGCGTGAGCTTACGTGGTTTGTTTGAAGGTTTAGAAAAACAGGTTAGAAAATATATTTCTAATCTACGGGCTTTTTGTTGCGGTATCGGTTCAACAGTGATTATTAATGGCGTTATGTTGATTACGTTATAATGTACGCTAAAGTATTGTAATGTAAATAATGCAAGGCTCCCCTGATATATTGTTTCTTGGAAGATTGTTATTTTTTTAATAAAAGAAGGTATGACTGAAAAAATTGCGGTCTTGTAATTTATGCGTTTTACCATTTTGAAATTATGATGCTTTTATAGATGTCACGAAAATATCATATATGCTTGTCGATTCTTATTACTACTTTATTTTATAAGGCAAAGTAATCTGTTTTACGTCAATTATGGCAGTCAATTAATTTTTGTTAGTGGCGCCATCGGTGGGAGAACGCCCAAGCTTGAAAGGATTGATAATTATTGCTGAATTAAATAAATATTCTTACAAATGAAAAATTTGATATATCAACTAATATATTATAGTGTTGTAGTGCAAAGGATCCAATTAATTATGTATTTATGGCAGATTAAAGTAACTTAGTAAAACCGTCCGATGCGACATCTAGCGGCAGCAGCGGGAACTATTTTCTCTACAAGCTTGGGCGTTTTCTCACCGATGGCGCCACTAAAGGGTCAATAACTATGGCTGCATTAAATAACTATTCATACAAATGAAAATAGATTGAAGACTGTTCAAATGACTGTATATGTAATTAAAAATGCCTCCGAAGCCTAAAACGGTACGCTATTTTCATATTTGTTTACCTGTAGCATACTTTTCATTTATGTTTAACTACTCCAGTAATTTTAACCTATATTCTACTATGATTAATTTAAACCGTATTCGAGAAACAATTCCTACTTGTTAGTAAACAGCGTTATTTTCAGAACGTCAAAAAAGGGATTTCTAGGAATAAAAATACAGAACCTCCCAATGCAGTGAACCCTTCATGTTCAAATGCAGAAACTGTGAGTGGTCTAAGCCAGGAAGCCGAGGACCAATTTGAGTTAGAATTATGTTGGTGCATCCAGCAATTACAAGTGTATCTAGCTACTGGGAAACTTTCAGAGAAGCAGGCGCGCGATTTGACTAAAAACATAAGTGTTTTAAGAAGTTCCACCGCACCTCTGATCAAAAAGAGGCAAATAATGCGGACTACCTTAGGGAATTACAGAGAGAAAATGTTGCTGGACGAGCAGAAACATAGCAAATCCGCGTCCTCTATGAAATTTATACCTGCTCCTACACAGAATAAGAAGTGTGTGTTTGTAAGGAAGGCTGCGTGTAAATTACCAAGCGAGAAACAGCACTCGCATATAGATACGGTACTCTTTAATTCAAACTCATCCGTAACTTCTGTCGATATGGATAATGCACAGACTGTCTTTAAGTTTAACTTTCAACTTGCAGAATAAGTGACATGTTTACTACATTTTATATTGTACACGTTTATATGCATTTCAGTAATATAAGTATTTTATAAGTATTTATGGACAGTTTTGTTTACCCAAATAAAGAAACTATAAATAATTTTAAATAGTATCCTTGGTGACATTGTTCCAACCATGTTCAGATTTTAATATATACTAAAACAATAGACTCCGTTTTAACACGGTCCTGTGGCGCAACGGATAACGCGTCTGACTACGGATCAGAAGATTCCAGGTTCGAATCCTGGCAGGATCGATACAATTTTTTTCCGCTTAACGATTTTTTAAACTGCTAATAACAAACATTACCATACTTTTCCTATTATAAAAACGCGAATAACAAACATTCAATAAACTTGGAAGTTAATGAAATTGAAATAGGACGAATACTTGCGAGAGAAAATAAATTTTAAACTGAAAGCGTACTAAAATTTCTAATAATATAAATTAACTACTGAATGAAATTATCATTGATTTATATAAATTAAATGCTCGAGGCAGAGGGATCTAGCATATTCGAGGCGACAATGAAAGTCATTTATGTAAATAAATATTTAGTTATGATATATTTAACAACCAGTAGTAACAAAGGTATTTCGTCTCTCTTACGTACTTATAGCAACAGAACAGCACTCTTTATCGTATGGTACAAGCTTGAATCCGTATAGAACTATATATATAATATATGCATATAGGATGTCTCAAAAGTCTATCGCATAATTTTATTAATAACCATCGGTCTAAAAATGTATCAATACAAAAAAAAAAAAAAAAAAAAACACAATAACACATCGTTTCTTTCGGTTCAGTCGCTGAAACCATAATCGAAACAAACTTTACCATCGTCGAAACTCAAAAGAAATGCTATTCGTTAACACCTACAAACAACCTCAACCGCGATGATATGGTTCGATCAATCGAAAATTGCCTAAAAAGAATGCATTAGACTCTTACGACGCCCTGTATAAATATACGTATTCTCCAAGGATTTCCGTCATTTTTTTTTTCCATTTATTTATTTATTTATTATTATTCTTCCTTCCTTAATAACGTAACAGTGATATATGCATCTAGAAAAAGGAGAAATCAGTTCTTCCTCGGACAGGGCCAACTGATACAACTCATAAAGACTCGATTAATGACTTTTTTCCTTTTTACAATTCTAAATAGAAATATCTTTTTATTAAAGAAATATGATTTTTCTAATATAGTCTTATATTAAATATATATAATTCTTTATATCTGTTCATTTTTTTCATTTAAATATTTCTTTGTTTCGTTTTTCTTTTTTTTTTTTTTTATTCCTTTCATCCTTTCATTCGTCATACACGATAAACTGTTACGCCCGAAAAAATCACGATTCAGTTTCAACGCTCTCTCGACAAGGTATAAGCGCGGTTTCGTTTTCTGTGTTTATCTTTTTTTTTTCTCATTTTTATCGTTACTATGTTTTTTTTTTTTTTTGGTCTTTGCAGAGCAGTTTCATCGCTTCGATCGTCTTTGGTAGAAGCACGCGTCCCCGTTGGAACGCGTTATCCTCGTAATTCGATTTTAGAGAATTCTCTCGACCGCGTCTCACTGATCCCTGAGTCGGTGTACAACCATATCAGTCTTTGCCCCACTCTTTAATGCCACGCTTTCTTCTCACAGCAATCGACCATCCTTCGCTCTTACCTTAAAGGCTAATTCGACGCACGGAGACTCGCGAACTCGTCGCAAACGAATCGCCGTTTCTCGTAATTCTAACACGGAAAAAAAAAACAAGGACGCCATACGATTCTACGCGAAAAACTGCATCGAAAACGTGCAGAACGATTTTTCCGTAGAACGCTTCCATGCGGAGATAATCGAGGTCAAAGTACGCGCGGGGCGCGTGCGCTGCGTCGTGCCCCGATTCGACTTCGACGTCGAGTTTCTCGAAAACGAAGCCTCGCACGGAAAAATATTATCTCGCATTTTTCATACAGTTTTTCGCGCGGAATCGATCGCGTCCGGTTTCGAGCAAATCCGCGAGTCGCCCAGCGACCAATCGTCCAACAAAGACACTGAAAACGCGCGACGAGCCGTCGTCGCGCGCCAAACAAGCAACCTTTTTCTCTCGTCGACGTCTGACTTCGACTCCCCGCCGCGGTCGTTGATACCGTTTGCGTAAAAATCCGAGCAAAAAGTTCCAAACTGACTTTCGCGTGACAGCGGCTTTAGACTAGAAGTTGTTCGAAGATCGGGTGTGGTTCGGGGGCGCGGAGGGGTAGCCGAAGGAGTCGTTTTTAAAAATGCCTACGAAAATAAATCTCACCGCGATACTATCGACGTTCTTCGAACCTCTCGTTAACGAGCGCACAACTTCCGCTTTCTCTCTTAGACAACGATTCGATGCTCCGTCGGTTAAGTCGTTCCCATGCGAGAGAAATCGAATCGAACTCGATTGGCGGGCTCGAGGCCTACACGACGACCTCGGGCTGCCAACTGATTTAGCTTCGACCGTCACAGTACGTAAAACGCATTCGTACGAAACGAAGGAATTTCGAGAAACACATATAATACTTGATGACCTCATCGACCCTATCATCTAACACCCTACAATGTACACATCTATGTTTTTCTTTTTTCCTGTGTCGTTCGTGTACAAGTATACATACATACATACATACATACATATATATACATATATTGGTGTATACATATAACCTACGCGTGTGTGTGTATATATATATATATATGTATACGTGCATATATATACATATAATATTTTTCATATATATTTATATAAAGATTCAGGACTAAAAATCAATGTATAAGAATAGCATTCCATATATGCTAGTGAACAGAACCACCGTTTTTCAAATAGTCTGTAAAATCGACGCGCGCCGTGTCTCTCTCGCTCGTTGATCGCGTGGCGCGCGCCTCTTTCGTTAAATAAATAAGTTTTCCTCGCCCGTTCTCGATCCTCGAGAGACGTGCGACGACAACCACACCTACTCGAAAATTGTCTTTTCTTCCACTCGCCGATCGATGGCGGAGCTTCTGAGGCACATTTGCTATGTATTTTCGTGGGAGGGGAGAGGAGGGTGTGTGTGTGTGTGGGTGTGTGTGAGGGGGAGGGGGGAGAGACAGAGACTGACAAAAAATTACATCCGAATACAATGTTTGCAACAACGAGTAACGAAATGGAAAAATGATAAATCTGAAATTAATTTTTCGAGAAAAAGCTCTGTTTTGTCGATCTCCGCCGCGGTTGGACTCCTCCTTTTTGTCGCGAGAGGATTGAGGGTAGGGGTCGAGTTAGAAGGCGACACACGGGACGTCTAGGAACACACGCCCCAGTGTGTGTGTGTGTGTGTGTGTGTGTGTGTGTGTGTGTGTGTGTGTG